AAAGATTATGTTGTAGGTTTTTTTAGTTTTAAAGGTTTAATTCCGCAATACTCACTAGATGATGATAACATTAGCGACTTTAGGTAAGTAGAAATTTAGGGTCGTTACAATCTTTAATAGTTTTGGTGAAAATACTGCCTCATGTGCCAAGCATCAAAAATCAGTATAAGACTTTCATAATCAGGTGGCGATCCAAACAGACACAGATCTCGAGTAATATTGCCAAGCACAGAGGAAGGCGGTTGATGAGAAAGCATAATCAGGTGGAAAAGGATGGAAAGAAAAGGCCCCCAACTAACATAGGGCCACTTACCTTACTAGATAGGGGGGGACACGGCTGTCAAAGATCAGAGCAAGAGCCGTATCCATGATATGTGTCTATGCTTCCTTTCCTTTCTGCAACCCCATTTTATAGGTATATGGGCAGGAGAACTAATAATCAATTCCATGAGTGGCTGTAAACGGAGAGAAAGCTGATGAGACTCCCCCATCTTAGTCCAAAACTGGAATCCGATGACAAAAGAATCCATTTGCAACCTTAGCTTTAACAAAAAAAGCCGAAAAGCACTGACCCCTATCTAGTAATAGTAAGGTTTGGTAAAGCTGCGGGGATTACCGCATTCCCTTCTGTAGGTCTGTCCAGAACCGGAACCTTTATCAATCTCCGAAATTCCTTGTCGGGTAAGTTTCGACCCGCACGAAAGGCGTAACGATCTGGGCACTGTCTCGGAGAGAGGCTCAGTGAGCTCAAGGAGTACTAAAAAAAGGTGCTAATGGCAGTGGGACTCCAGCGGGTAACCTACATCTAAAAGAGTTTAGTGTTAGTTGTTGTTGAGGATATTTAGTTTTTCATTGAAGCGGGTTGTTGGGTTCTCCACGCTTGTGGTAGATTCGGTTTCGAACCTGCGATATGGGCATTACTCCTTCCAGAGCTTAGTTTCGGCTTTTAGCTTCGGTTTTTGAGGCTGAGGCTTGGCTCTAGGCGGATTTTATTTTGGATTTCTTATTTGTTTTTGGCCTATTTCAACCCATTTAACCAACTTGAATCGATTCTAATATCAATCAATTTTAAAAATATTACTTAAGATAAAAAATTTGAGAATCATTCTGAACCAATGAAGAATCTATTATTAAATTCTCATGCTTCCCAATGTGAGGCTTTTATGTTTGAGAATATCCAAAACGAGATGTCATCTTTGGATTCAAACCTTACATTTGTTTAATCCTTTCCAAATGTGTCGAACAAAGCTTCATATACTTCACAACATTCATCTACCACCTCTACACACTCTCCAACACTCATGCTCATCGGTGTTCTCGTTGAAAGACGGGGGTGTACTCCTTGCTTCTGGGGACATTGATCCGAAGCTCGAGTACGGTCCGTGCGCCGTTTTTCTTCTCTACCATGACGACGAATCAATTGATTTAATGTAGGCATCGTTCTTTCCTTTGTTCGTGAGCCGTGCATGATTGACATATGAAATGATTGTGTTTAAGTAATAATCTAAAGAATCTATGGTATATAGATAAAGTTGGGTGTCTTATTCTATTAACACTATTGATACGATCCAATCTGTAATTGTTATAAATCTTCAAGGAGAACATGACCACTACTAAATCCATATCGTGTGCTATATAAGTGCGCTTGTAATCCTTCAATCGATGTCCTTTCTTTGAAACGCTACCATACACCATGAATCCTCAAATTTGAGTAAGAAGGAAGGTTGTAACCAATCTCCATTTGAGTTCTTAAAAAATAATCTTTACTATCTTCGAACTCCCATTCTTAGTTAACGGAATAAAAAGGGTATCTTAGAGAATCTTAGATGAAATATCGGTAACATCTTGCCAATCCTAGAAAGTTATGTACGTCTATAGTAGTGGTCATGCGACGCCACTTCGTTACGACTTCAATCTTGGTAGTGTCCACTTTAATGCTTTCTCGTGTTACTATATGCCAGAGGAGGCAGTTGCTTTTCTCTCGCGGTAGTCAATACTCTTCTTGAAATACGACTCATGATCTTTTTTTCGTCTTAAAGTATATTAGGATATCATCTATGAATACAATAATAAATGTGTCTAGATATTCATTGAACACTATTAATTAGACTCATAAATATTGTTGGTGCATTCATCAATCCAAAGGTTATCACATTGAACTCATAATGTAAGTAAGTACCTTAGGTGAGATGTCATCTTGCTAATATCTCTCTCTTCGATCCTCAACTGGTATCCTGATCTCAAGTCAATCTTAGAAACCACGGCACCATGCAACTGATCAAACAAGTCATCAACTCTTGGGAATGACACTTATTCTTAATGGTCACTTTATTCAACTCCCGATAATCTATACACATGTGCATCAAGCCATCATTCTTCTTCACAAACAATACATGTGCTAAGGCGTATGAATACTCAACTCTTGAAGCTGCATTTTAAGATCTTTAGCTAGCTGTAGGCACCTTTGAAATAAGGGTTGTTCCTTATATGAACTCGATATTGAACTCAATCTCTTGTGCTAGAGGTATTCCTTGGAGATCGTCAAGAACACATCCAAAAAAATCCTTAACTATCGATACTAAGTTTATATCAATCTCCACACATCTGTGTTCACATTGTGAGCCAATATGCCCTATATTCCATGACATTATACAACTTAATACTAGTCAATTGAAAAGCATGAATGCTTACGGTTTTTATGTTGAAAAGTTCTCTCCTCTCAAATTGTTCTTTCAACTTCAAATATTTGTTTCAACACATTTCAATTGTGGGCTATATCCAACATACCATAGCCTAGAAGGTCTTCATAAACATTTTCATGTTCGGGACCTCCTGATTTGGATCAGTGACTTACTCGTTACCATACACATGCTTACATCATTTAAAAAAAAAAAAAAAAAAAAACAAGTAGGTTGCGAACTCTTAATTTTAAATAAAAATCATTCAAATATAGCTCATAATGTTTGATGATCATTCGAACTCCGTCAATTTCTCTCCCGACTCTAAGAATAATGTGTAATCTCCCCTCATCGACAATCAACAACTGCGATCCCGGTTTCTGCATTTGTTGGTCAACAGTGCCCTCGTTAATACCTAATCATGGTCATCGATCTACATTTGGTAGGCAACTTCTATAGCCACTCAAATTTGAAGTTGTTACCAAATCCTACCAGAGGGATGTTTATCTTGAAGAAGAAAATCCTATATTCTTTCCAGTTGAGCGACAAATGGTGTATATCCGAGGCAGAGGCCAAATAGTACTTGGAGGAAGTTATGGGGAAACTTCTAAAATGAGGTACAAGTCAAATCTGAAAGATCCCTCTTTTTTGTATTATTTGCGACACCCAGGAATGATCATTCAAATTTGACCAAAACTTACCAATCTTTCATTATATAATAATAATAATAATACTCATTTGGTGTCAATTAGATGTCTTTCTCTATATCAATACCAATGGGCCTCCAATTCTAAAGTTTGAACTACTTTTGGCTCCCCTTATTAACTAGAAGATGTTAATATTTGTGGGATTGAAGAACAAAAATGACTATTAATGGACGCAGCCAACCTATTTTTGCTCCTACCAACGTGTATTAAATAAGAAAAAAGGATTGAGTTTTGTTAGAAGAGGGGACAATTCTATGTACTCTGTTTACAGAAAGCCGCCGCACCTAATGAAAAAAAACTATAAAACTGGCAGTGAAACAAAAGCTTAGCATCGCACTGCCTATACTCTTTTATTTTTCAAGATCTGTAACTTTTTAATGATGTAAAGATTCCAACTCATACACCTTAGAGTCTGAAGAGGGAAGTCCTTGAGCTGAGGATTTTGGTGGACAAGCTTTACAGAGTTCGTTGTAGCGAGCGATATCGAAATTCTGAAGCTTCATCAGGCGCTTCTGCTTTGTGCTAAACCGGCTTTGGAAGAAGCCCTCGAAGGAAGGCTCTTTCGAGGTCTTGAGGAAGAAGGTATAGCCAGCAATGAAGTAAGCTGAGGTGACATAGAAGCAAATTGGCTCCATGACATCCCAAGTGAGCTCCCAGAAGGTGAGCCTCATGAATGCAGCTGTTTGAGCCACGAGGAGGCCCAGTCCGACCCAGAGCTCCCGACGTACGAGCATTTCAGCTTTTTTGTCGATTACAGCTTTCTTCGTCTCCATTTCTTCAAGCTCTTCCCTTCTAGCATCATCATTTGGAATGACTGGTGGTAAGGGAATTAGGCCTTCAATGGCCTTGGCTACCTGAGGTCAAACAATATGAAATACTTGGGTAAAACCTTGAACTACCTAAAGCATATTGATTGTTAGCTCTAATGGTTCATTGGATGAACTTGGACAGCAGCCACACAAAATTAGTACTACTATATATATATATATATATATATATATATATATATATACATAAACGATTAGTATTATACTTAAGAAAGGAGGGGGACCGGATCAAAATAGGACAGCTGAAAAATTACAGTGTACAAACAAACTTAATAGAATTATAATTTATAAAGAACAGGGCCGGATCAAAAATGGCCGAGGTTGTTTTGATGTTCTAGGATGAAAAGCTTTCAAAGGTTGATCAGAAAATCAGTGAGTTTCTGGGGCAGGGTGTTAAAAGAAGACACAAATTAGTCTTAAAACTTCTCTTTCTTTGGCAGTGAATCCTAAGACGAATCCCAAAAATAATCATGATCAAATTAGACGTTGTTGTTCATCTAAAGCTAATAAGACAAGGCCTACACATCTCAATCGGAATCCCACAGATCAAAACAAAGTTCAATGACATCCCTTCCATCCTAAATCTGTCGTCTTCTCCCCCTCTCTGTACTTTTTCTGGTAGGATTCTTTGCTTATAAGATAAACTAAAACCCTTTACGGTTCCCAAGAGAATTGCAGAGTTTTTTCTCCACGAGTTTCAAACCCCATTAATTGAATCAGAAACTATGGTCAATTTTTGGTATTTCTAATAAACCTAAGTGTTACCCATAAGACACATCTCCCCTTACCCTACCCCTACCCCTACCCCTAACCCAACGACCCCTGAATGATCCATATCCATTGAAGCTAGAAAGTGTAACAATCTTGTCATTGAATGAATCGAAGGGCGTCTATATGATCCTTCAGATAACTCATCTCAAACGTGGAACCCCTTTTTTACGTTTTAGGTCTGTCCTGTTGAAGAAAACAAAAGAAAAAAAGAATAACCAGAAAAGAATATCAGTTCTCGGTAGACTTCAGGACTAGAACTTTAAAATAAAGATCTCGTGAAAGAAAAGTAAAAAAAAAGGGAACCTATTTGGTAAGCGGCATCGAAATCTGTAGAACTCAAAATCAGCAAGTAACCAAAAATATCTCTAATGCAATTAAGAAAAGTAAGCTAAAAAGTCAAATCAAGATGGGAAAACAACAAATCACCTGTTCAGGCCTGAGGTACACAACGTTTCCTAAGACAATCACGGTTCCGGATTCATCAAGCATTTGTGCAGTCTCAAGGCCCTGACCAGGATCATCACATCCCTGACCACAAATCCGTACGAATTCAGAGTGCGGAATCCATGATTTCTGAACTTCTCTCAACTTCCTCTTCACCATCTCCATCCGCGCTACTCTGAGCAACTTCCTCGCATCCTCAACCGTCAAACCACCCTTCAAATCGGACCTATCCGGATCCGAAGCCAACGAATCGCAAGCAGGGGGACGAAGGCAATCGAGGCGAATTCGATGTGGAGCAATCCCAAGAGATTTGAACTTCTCCACCATGTTCCCTCCAGCCGCCAGTTCCCGGAGTTCAGGCGAAATCGCCGGCTGAGAAACAGCTTTCTTGTGAAGAAAGCAACGAAAAACAACATGATCTCCAGGATCATGAGCAATGTTCGCAGTATTGGTGTTGGGAGGAACACGAGCCGCAAGCGAAGACGACGAAATCCGGCATTTGGTAAGGAATTGTTCAGAGATTTTGGATATGTTAAAGAGACGCTGTGCTAGGGTTTTCTTGTACGCCATTGATGAACAACGCTAAACAGAGAATCGATTCGATCGCAGTAACAAGAGAAAGAATCTAGAAATAGAGCTACGGAAATCAAAACAATGAAGAACAGAAAGATCTCTCCGTCGATATTTCGGATCAAATTAATGGGTGAGAACAATCACCGGGGCGTTTCACTGCGATCGATCATCAATCCCAAACGCCCAAATTTATAGGTCGTCGCTCCACTGCCTTCCAATTCCGTTTCCGATTAGAAATTTAATAAATAAAAAAAAATATGGGAAATTGATTCTTTTTTCAATCCAATTATTTAGGAGAGATAAAGCCTTCACCAAAAAAATAGGGGAAAAAGACGCGAGATTTTGTAAAGCGTGACGTAGCCGAGAAACGGCTTAAGTTTCCCATGTGGTTTTTAATCGCCACGTGGCGCTATACGAGATAATCGTAATGAATCTCACGGTTCTGACGAAACGAGATGAGTTTTTAGAGATGTATTCACGTGTGCTAATATCTACTTGTATACTCTAGGACCACGTGAATCACCGTACACGTGGTTGGCTTTAAAAAGTCCCTCCTTGCGTTTGGACATGTGTTCCACAACTTTTTTCCAACTTCCACGAATTAAACTTCTCAAGGTTTAGAATGAGACCTCTTGCTCCCATCATCATCATTATTATTATTATTATTATAATAATAATAATTATTATTATTATTTTGACGGGGTTTTGAATTTTTAACCAGTTAAGTTATGCTCGTACTCTTTTGCTATTCAAATTCATGTCCCGAGTGTTTATCCTCGACTAGTTTGAGTGATCAAGCTTCATGTCAGAGGAATCATCATCCAACGTCCATTTTCGCTGGTAAAGGTCTTTTGTTTCTCCTCTCGAATTGCTTTGTTTTTTGGACTAAAATCTCTCCCTCTTAATATCCGAACTCCATTTGCTTTGTTTTTAGTATAGATTTTCTATTAGAGATTTAATATTTTATGATCCATGAATTTATGATAAACAAATACTCGGATTAATGAGAATATTTTTGGAAGGAAATAGCTGCAATGATTGCATCATGAGTCATGTGCATCCGACCTCATACATATGTATGATCACGAGAAATGGAATTGTGAAAACTTGCTGGTGTGGCTTATGAAGGAGAGTGACTATATGACCCCTTATGTGTTTCGTAGCAATATATGGTCAGAACTATGATTTTGCAAAACTTTGCCATAAGTGGTGATGTATGGACCCCTATGTTATTATGACGATATAGTCACAACTATTGTAACGCCCGAACTCTAACGAGAATTAATTTTCTCAAATTTTTCTTTCAAGATGAACTTTCAGAATTTTATTAAGAGGTTTACATGTTAAATTTGAGGATATGATAGAAGATAAAATTGCTCGGAACAATCTCCGAGACCTAGAAAAAAATATAGTAGAAAAATAAAAAATAAAAAAAGAGAAATGAAAAGGAAAAGATAGGGTTTGAGAGGAGGAAGGTAAAAGAAGAAGAAAAATGCTCAAATTCGTGTAGAGGAGACTGAATTTGACCGAGATTCATTCACAATAAACTCTTAATAGGCTGAGGAGATTTAATCTGATCATCGGAATCGTTTGATTCCGTAAAGAAGCGAGGAAGAACAAAAGGTTAGTTTTTGGATTTTAGTTCTCAAGTTTTCCTCGAGACCCACGAGTTTTTTATGGAATTAGTCTCTCTAATTTTAGTACGTTGATCTTGGAGTATTTTCGCACGTTTTTTGTGAAGGAATCTAAAGTCGAATCATACCAGAAGTAGGAGTTTTGAGAAACCTCCAAAAACGAGTAAGAGAGTTGATTTTAGCCAACTTCGAACTTGAATAACTTTGCCTATAGTTGATAAAAATTCCAAAAAAAATACCTTCATGTAAATGGAATAAAACTCTATAATTATCGTGATCCGCTCGGTCGTTATAAAAATAGAGATGAATCAAAGGACTCTTCGTTCTTATACTTTCTCAGATTTGATGGCGTCTAAACTGTGGAATCGAAATACAAACGAATAACTTCAAAGACTGGATCTGTAGATCTACAAACCAAGTTGAGATGAGTTGAGTAGAAAAAGATATAAAAATATAAAAAAGTAAAAGAACTCACAGGATTTTTGAATTTGCAACTGCGCAGACGAACAGGGGAGAGACGTGTGTCACACATCGAGTGGAGAAGCACGGTTGCCCCAGTGATTTACACATGGCACGCTGCGAGTGGCACAATGCAACCAATCTTGAAGGTAACACATAACCAGTCCAACCAGCGGGCTAAACCGAAGCTGTAGACTTAGCTCATTTGCCCAATTTGTGAATTGCGTTCGCATCTGATGACCTGAATCGACCTCGCGAGCGACACGTATCAACATAGAAAAATCTTACGGAATTTGTGTGTCGCTAGACTTAAACACATGTCAAACTTGTAACTGTCAATCAACGAATGATGCGTGGTGTCACGATCCTACATTTTTACCATGCGGCGTCATGATCTTGACACGCTCACAACCAGCCTTAAGGTGAACTAAGCCCCATATATATTTTTTGTCCCTGTTTTGTGGCTTCGTCAGACCTTAGGCGAGGTTTGTCTTCGCCAATCGAACATTGCTTGTGCGGAATCCAAGCTTGTTCAACCACACACGCAGCCTGCGCATGCATTTTCAATCGTTTGCGACACATCCAACTTGCCTCTACACCAGGCCAAGTCATTCGGCTCGACCTTGTCTCTACTCGGGGCCAAGGTCTCTCAATTCACCATCGCATCTCATCTTGCCATCTCGATCTCCATCGACATGGCCCATATGTGTTGACGTCATCCCGAGTCTCGGGGTGTCATCGGCCATCGTAACTCACTCGATCATGTCATCGAGAATGGACCCGCGTGTCGTTCATCTCATCGAGACTTCCCAAACATCCATCCATCTAGGTTCTATCGAGGCATTGGCCCTCCCGTGCACGTGCCATGTCATTTACGGATATCATGTCGGATAGCGAGTGTATGTAGCAACCTCCAACACGCAGGCTGGGACGCAATACCGGCACACCCGTGTCTCCCGATACTATCCTTGAAAAATCCATTTCAAAGGAAGTCGCCCGAGACACTCGTCTCGACACGCTCGCCCACGCTGTGACACACGTATGTGCCACAGGATAGCTCACTTAGGCCACAGGGCCCAAGGGTGGTGGAGAGCTAACACATGGTACTCATATAGTACATTTTGAGCCATTTTCAATCTTCCAGGCATAGACATGATTTTGGTGAATGGTCATACGGTGTCGTACATTGTTCGTCCGGTGTCCGATTGACACCATACTTGGCGAGCATTCATACTTCATATGGACGGACTTTACTCCTGAACTACATGCCCAAATTCCCTCTAGAACCCCGACTTTTGAGGTTAAGGCCCGAGTCCCTACCTAGCCCTTCAGCAAGCCTTATCTTTGCCCCTCTTGTCAATTTGGTGTCTCCATCTTGCTTATGTCTCAATTTGTCTTCAATGCCCACTTCGTGTGGTGTGTTAGATGATTCACCGTTCTCCTCGGTCGCATCATGGCACTTGTCTAGGCCCTCGCGTGGCCGGGTGGACGCCACTTGAGGGTCGCCGCTTCTCTTGTCGCAATGTGAGGGTCATAACCTACTCTCTTCATAGTTTGGTTGTGACATTCTCCCCCACTTAAACTAGTCACTGTCCTCGATGACTTACTTGGGAGCACAACCATTGTTAGGTTGTGACATTCTTCCCCACTTAAACTCGGCATCGTCCCGATGACGATCCAAACTCTTTGACTGTTGCTGACTCGACTCGGTGGATTTGGTTGTGCTTCAGACAAGTATAAAATTACTAAGCACCTGACTATCCTTTGTCATGATGTTTATCTTACTGACACCTCTCGGTCAGCTTGGGGACAAGTTCGAGTTGATGCTTCTGACTTCTTTTTTTTCATATGGCACCATTTTCTGACTCTTGACTTGGTCAGTTGTTGGGTGAACTTGCCCCAACTTTAGCTTGGCACTACTCTTGGCCAATTTGCATACTTTCTGAGTGACACTAACGGTACACCCCGAGGGGTGTGGCTCGGAAGCCAACCGCGATACTACTCTTCGAGGCACCAACTACTATGGGAGCGGAGTCAAGATGGTTTGTTATTGACTTGCTGGAGAACAGACGTGCTTCAGACGAATACAAAAACTCGTGCACACTATCTACGGGCTATCCCCTTTTGGACCTATTTCTGTTGTTCACCCCTCTTGGACTTGGCCACCAAGACTTGCAATGTAGACATGACTATTCAATGTTTGTTGTAGCTGTGGTGAGGCTAACTCTACACTTAACAGACAACTATGGACTTCTAAGGGCACTCTTGTCCCATTCGTAGCCAACTTGGCCTCAATGTGTGTATCCTATAAGTCACACAAATTGGTGCACCTTTCAAGGTGGGGCTCGCAAGCCTAGCCACGACACCTTCTCGTCGTGGCCACTTCTTTTATTGAGCAAAGTCAGAACTTTTGACACAGCCTCTTTAGTTGTTGGCGTTACCTTTCGGCCAACTCTTTGTACTTTGCCACCTTCACGTAGCTATTGCTGCATTGACATTGCTCTTGGTCTTCTCGCAACTTTAGTTCTCCATTGATCCCTAATTTTTAGTCAACTAATTTTTAGGTAAATATTATTTGGTTAAACCCACACAATTAAAGTAAGGGAAGCTTCTAGTGGAAGATTCTGAATTAAGTTGCCCAAATCTTTCCATTTTTAGGATGTAATGTTTTATTTAAATATAGATCCGTTGGGTCTTGACCACATACTTTCTCTCTCGGTCATTTTTCCATTATTTTTTCTTCTAACAAATTTCCTTCTGTCATTTTTTACTCCGTAGACGATTTCCTCTCGATTATCAGAAGTCAACAAGTGGTATCGGAGCCAAGTTTAATCCACTGGTGTTATAATGCACCATTCTCCTCGGTCGCATAATGGCACTCGTCTAGGCCCTCGCGTGGCCGGGTGGGCGCCACTTTAGGGTCGTCGCTTCTCTTGTCGCAACGTGAGGGTCACAACCTACTCTCTTCATAGTTAGGTTGTGATACATGGCATGCCTAAGGCGCAACTTCCGTCCCTGCAAACGCGTGACACCTGAGTGTGGAGGCATCACGTGGAACCCTCCCACTCGTGCGTAAGGACACATGGGGGAGCGTGCAAGGTGCTTTTTAATATGTTGTCTCTATTTGCCATTTTTCATCTCA